AAACTTATTGGACTGAATTTAAAAAAAAAAAACAATAAATAAACACAGCTATGTCATTCCTGAATATGGCCACACAGTGAAATATTCTGACATTTAATATTAGGCATCCTGTGACCAAATTGCTAAATATTTAATCTTGCTGTGACCAAATGACAAGTTTAGCAGATACTTTTTTCTATTCTTTCCATTGGTTATTTTTAGATTCGAATAAATGAAATATCTAATCTATTTTTAGATTCGAATAAATGAAATATCTAATCTTGTTTACAAAACTTTCAAAAGAGAGACCCGAATGGATGGCAAAGTCCCCATCCCTTAGAGATCCGCAGTGACTCCAAGCTCCCTCTTAAGGTCTCCCATGCCAGAGCAGGAAGAGTCCAGCCTCCTAATACCTGGACCAAGTCACCCCACCTCTCTGGAGATCCCACCATGATTAGTGACCAAGCCAGGAGGGAGCTGCGAGCCAGCACCCACATGCCTGCCTTCCGTCCATACTTTACACTGTGGAAGTTAAAGAAAACATACCTGTGACGATGAGCTTTGTGCCAGAGCCAAATATCTTCATTTTTTGGTTATTCATTTGCCCACCACCTTAAAAGCCTTTATAAAAATCTGTCTTTGTGCTTGTTTTAAAATTGCACTGATATTTTTGTCAATGTGTATATAAATACATAAAAATTGGCCCTGATGACATTAGGCAAAGACACTGCTCCAACAAAATCACAATAGATCTGAATATATTCAGGAATTTAAGAACTGACCCCACTCTGCCTGGGAAGTTTGGGTTCCATCTGTTCTCTTCTTTCATCACATAGGTTGGAGAGTCTGATTTTATCTTTTTTCATGATTTTTCCTGAATCTTTTCAATCTCCTCCCTGAAAGGGTTTTCAAAATGTATGAAACACATTCTTTGTCTAGAGTGTAATTTAGTGTAAATTAATATTTTCTCAATTTTCAAAGAGAAATAATAATAGGGGTCTCATGTTTGAACATTTGATAAATTTATAATCGATATGATTTGTAGGTTCTTTTTTTTGAATCATATGTATGGAGGAAAGAATATGTGGACTAATTTTAATGTAACTTCTTTGCCAAGTCACTATCCACAATGGGCAACTTCCCATTAACAGTAGACCAGATGAGTTGTTACGGAATATGAATTCTTAACGACGATCTCTTAAGCTATTTACTCATTGTTGCTGAAAGACTGCTCCTTTTTTG